CAAGGCTTGGTGGGCCAGGATGTGCTCCACTCTCTCTTCCTCCCCCTTCATTTGCTCCCATGTGCTCTGATCAGACATGTCCCTCTCCCTGAGTTACAGATTCAGTGCTGTCCTCTGAAATAAATTCTTCTGGGGGGAAGGATCAACTCTTAAGATTAATAATAGAGGGGAGAAATTTTGATCAAAACAAACAAAAATAATAGCATGACTAGGTTGTGGCCTTTGAACACACCAGGCACCATGCCAAGAAGACACTGCCCATGGGGTCCTGAGTAAGCCCCGGGAGCCAGCGTCCTGTGGGGTCCCTGCCAATGCAGGGCTTGAGCAAGGGTTATGAGACACCGTCTGGGGTGCTGTGAAATGCGGGGTCAGCCATAGCGCTCTGGAACCCACTCGGGTTGGTCCTTCTTCACCCTATCAACCCAGAAGGCCCTGGCCAAGAGGCATCACGCTTGGTGTCTCCTGTCTCCTCATCTCTTCGGTTGGGTTTCTCTGATGGTTCTGAATGTTAATGCTTGTAAAGTGGTTGTACCAGGCTCCTGGCCTGTGCCAGGGACTGGGGGGTTGGTAGCATGGGCTTGTCCAGTGAGGGGTACAGATGGAATCAGTGCAGGGAGGGGCATGCTGGGCTTTGGTAAAAGGGACGCGTGCTCTGCTGAGGTACCTCCACATCTTGGTCATGTTTTTAACTGGATGCCTTTGCCTCCTCGTGGCCCCTGTTGGTGAGTTCATAACTGAAGTAAGCTCTGGGGCCCAGGCCCCTGAGAACCAGAGAAAGGTTCAAGTGGCCTTCGGGGATGCAGTGCTGGGGGACCAGGAGCTCTCGCAGGCAGCTGGGACCCTCACTACTGCACCCCAAAGAGAGAGGAGCTGGGGATGCGATTTCTGCACCATTTTCTGGAACAGTGTTCACATTAAAGAAGTCATGCCTGGAGGATGGTGTGGTCACCTGGTTGATGGTTAATGCTTTCTGGCGTTTGGGTCTGGTGAAGACGAGACCATGCCGCTTGCTGCTGAGGGAACGTGAGCACAGGTAGACCTGTGCCCTTGCTTTTATGCCTTTAGAGATCATGAACTTCATTTCTGGGGCTGTGACTGTTCCTAGTCCCAGACAGCTCTCTCGGGAGTGGTTATAGTGATACTCAGAGCTCTGTGTAGACCTGGGCTGGGGAGTGGGGGTGGGGTGGTATTGGCCTCTGGCACGTAGTGAGCCCCATGAGACGGTTTGCCACATGAAGACAGAATTGTTCATAAGCAGGCCTCTGGCTTGAAGCTTTTACCCTCGGCTTCTCTCCAGGTGGCCTGGACAGGAGTCTTGTGGTCTCAGGGCCCTGACCCGCCTACTGTGTGCTCTGAGGTTAAAAATGATCTCGTATGCTCTTCTCCCAGTGAGAACTGCGTCAGGATCACAATGACTAGAGTCCAGATTGCCCCGGCCACGCAGTCCTGTAGAATGGGTGGGATACAGCACCAGAGGCCACACTGCTGGCCGCAGGGAGCACTCTGGCCTGGGTCCATCATACCAGTCTCCCTGCAGCCTGGCCACATGGACCATCTGCTCCCTGGGGGTTGAGCCACGTATTGCAAATACCCCTTTCTCAAGGTCAAGTTGGTTTCTCTTTTCTCTACGTCCACAGTCCTCTGCAACTTCCCAATAGTCTTGAAATCGCCCCACGTCACCCAGAGCTAATGCTATGCGGCGGTTACTTTTCCCCCCTCTAAGAGGTGGCAGTGCCTCCCGAGAAGGCCCTGGGACCCTGAAGATAGAGGCAGGCGGCAGGGAGGGGTGCACCACAGGACCACCCTGCTGGCACTGGGTCAGCGTGGCCAGACTGGGAGGCTTGGGGGCGCCTGTAGGACCTCGGGTTCTGAGACTTAACACTGCTATAGGATCATGGGTATAGAATTACCCCGTGCTTGCTGGGAGTTTGTGCAGGAATCCTCATGAATGTTTTTTCTCCTGCAGTCTCAAGAAACTCGAGAGATTTTACATTTCCACTATACCACGTGGCCTGATTTTGGGGTCCCTGAATCACCAGCCTCGTTCCTGAACTTCCTTTTCAAAGTTCGAGAGTCAGGCTCCCTGAGCCAAGAGCACGGCCCCATCGTGGTGCACTGCAGTGCCGGCATCGGCCGCTCAGGGACCTTCTGCCTCGCTGACACATGCCTGCTGCTGGTAAGGAGGCCCCATGCCCTGGGAAGACTGGGACCAGGCCACAGCTGTCTCTGCCTTCACATCGCATCACATAGCTTCACTCTTCCAGTTCTTGCCACTCCATTTGGTGATGCTAGCTTTACCCTGAGTGGCTCAGCTCAGAGGGTGCTCTTAATTTTCACGTGGAATCCAGCTCCGTCCTGCAAGTCATCCTCTCTCCACGTAACCCTTTCCACCTGCTGGGCTCACTTGATCACTGTTTTGTTGCATTTTCTTCTGTTTCCTAGAATTATTCTTCTGTTCTCCCCGCACCCTAGATTTTTCTTTGAAAAAATCAAGCCACAGGAATGCCCCACCCTGAAGTACACACCGTGCCGCCGTCCTGGTGGGCGGGGGTGGCTGATTGTGTCCCCCTCTGGCTTTCAGATGGACAAGAGGAAAGACCCTTCTTCCGTGGATATTAAGAAAGTGCTGTTAGAAATGAGGAAGTTCCGAATGGGGCTGATCCAGACTGCGGATCAGCTCCGCTTCTCCTACTTGGCTGTGATCGAAGGTGCCAAATTCATCATGGGAGACTCCTCGGTTCAGGTGGGCATCATCGTTGCTGTCACCCCGGTGTGATGGTCAGAAGGAGGAGGTGGTCAGTCTTCCGAATTGCAGGCCTGCACCATGTCAGAGGGACTTGTCAGAGAGCTGTGGGCCGTTCGGCCACGACACTACAGTGCTGGGGGGTGGGGGTAGGATGTTGATGTGTAGAGTAGAGTAGATAGACCAGTTTGCAAAGGTTGTCCCTGCCTGGTTATGCAGCTACGTCTCTCCGCTGGCTCACTCCAGGGGCTGGCTTTCATGACAGGCAGCCCAGACACCAGCACTGATGATGGGCTTCCTCTTGCTGCCCTTTCTAGGAGCAGTGGAAGGAGCTCTCCCACGAGGACCTGGACCCCCCACCGGAGCACGTCCCCCCCCCACCTCGGCCCCCCAAACGCATCCTGGAGCCATACAATGGGAAATGCAAGGAGTTCTTCGCCAACCACCAGTGGGTGAAGGAGGAAGCAGGGGACAGTCACAGAGAAGCGCCCATCGAAACCAAAATCAGAGCCCCCTTAACTGTCTCCCGTAGCACGGAAAGGTAACGTTGGGGACAAAGGGACATGACCGTGTTGCTTGGAAGCCCCTTGGGAGTAGCCGCCTCTTGACAACCTCTATTTGTGTGGCTCCTGGACGGAGCTGCCCCTTCCCCTACCCGGAGGGGGGACCAGGCTGTGGCCACAGCTTGGCCCAAGACAGAGCGGTCAGCTTGGCTCTAGCGCCCCCTTGTGGTTCCTGTTGGAGCTGAGTGCCGTGCAGCTAAGTGGGGTCTCCCGCTGAGGGACATCTCCACCTGCAGGTCTGTCCTGCAACTTGCCCCTGGTTCTTCGGGAATTTAACCTTCCTGGGTAGTCTTTCAAGCTTACTGCCTTTTACAGTTGGACAAACAGTGATACGCATTTGTGCTGCCCTGAGAGACCAGGAACGAGGCCCTGGCCTCCCAAGAGCCTGTGTTAGGGAGGAGGCAATCCCAAACAAGCCTGGGGGAACCAGAGGGGGTGGTGTGGTAGCAGTGCCCACTACAGGTCCGCCTCAGATACTCAGCTCTCTGAGCTGTCAAGGAAGGCTACCTGGAGTGACTAGCACAGAGTGGAGATTAGGGGTGGAGATGGTTTAGCCCGGGTCTCAGGCTGCGGATGGCACTGCCTCTGTGGGTGAGGTGAGGCGAGTGAACATGCTGAGTTACGTGTGGGTCAAGATGTTTATTGCCAGAGCCTTCGACCTTGAAGGAGCCAAGCCCTTTCCTCTCCAGGGCCTGGGTCAGCAGTGTGGCCCCTCTGTGCTGGGTCAGGCCGCCACCATTCACATGTGCGCTGCATGTGCTGGCAAGCTGACCTCAGGGTTGGAGGACAGACCATCCCCACATCACCAACTTCCAACTTTAGGGGCAGCAGAGGGTAAATTTACCCTCATTGTGAAGCGATTAAACCAACCCATACCTGCAACCGATTCCCCATCACAGTCATCCGCCCTTGCAGTGTATGCAGCTTTTCAAACCTTGGAGAGGTGCTAGCCTTTTCTTGCACTAACTCAAACCAGATACCCTGCCAACTCATAGTGACCCTAGGGGACAGAGGAGGACTCTGCCCTGAACGTGTCCGAGACTGTAACTCCATAGGAGAAGAGAGCTCCGTCCTTCTGCAGAGCGGTTGGTGGTTTCACATGCTCACCTTGCAGTTGGCCGCCTCACATGTAGCCACGAATGCCGACAGCGTCAGGCTGAAGAGAACCGTCTGCGCCGCTTCAGTTGGCCTACACACGTGGCTGAAAGAAACCCTTAGGGCTAGTCACTCACTCGTAGCCGTCCATGGGACGTGAGTCACACGCCACTGGGTCTTTCAGCCAAAACTGGCTGTCAGCCTCATGCGGGCACCTGGCCGAGGTGCTCATGGCCATACAAGCCCTGGCCCGTGACCTAGAAGCCCAGTGACATCATGCCGCAGGTGAGCCTGTTTTCTGTCAGGTCCTGGTTCGGGCACAGCCCCACTCTCCCAGCTTTGACAGAGGCGGGCAGGTGGGTCGAAAGCAGGCATGGCATAGCAGTCCCTAACTCAAGGCAGAGCTGCGCGATGGGCATGTGGGATATGACCCCCTGGCACCTGAGCGGCACCAGTCACTTGGTGCCTCTCCATGTCTGTCACTTCCGTTGAGACTGGGGGATAGGCGGTGCATTTCCCACCCCAGAGCAGCAACAAGCTGAGATGTACAAGGTACGAACGCTCGGGGCCTGGCCGCGGTACATGCCGCCGCGTCGCCTGGGGCACACTGCCCCTGGGATAGAAGGGGCACTGACTTATATTGTAGGCAGGACATGCTGTGACCAGACAGCCTCCTGGGTGAGGGTAGAGGGAGGGCAAGCAGGCCAAGGGCCTGAACTCTGCTGTATGGGCCGTTAGCTTCTGCTGGCCACTCCCAAGGAGCCCCTGGAGGGAGGAGGGAGAGTGCGTGTTGTCCCTGCCAGGTTGCACTGACCAGCCCTCAGGGAAGACAGCTTGCCCGGTACACAGAGGCCTGGGAAATGGTCCTGGAGGCCGGGATTTGTGATAGGGACTCAGCGTGGACTCCAGGCTGCCAGTATTCTCCCTGCTATGGGCATGGCCTAGGGTGCCCAGGAGGGCTTAACAAGTGGACTGCCAGGGTGGGGTCCTCCCTGGCCATGGCTGGAGCAAGAGGTGGCTGGCTTTGTGGCCGTGGCATTGGTACTGCCACGTTCCGTCAGGGTGAGGGGTTCAATTGTCCTGGAATTACACCCATGAGAGCACTCTTGCTACTAGAAGTGTTCATCCAAGTGACCCAGAGCCCCTCTCTGGTTCCACAGCTCCAGTCAAGACACTGAAGTCAGAAGGCGGATTGTGAGGGAGAGTCTGAGCAGCACCCCAGTCACCGTCCCCACCAAGGGGGAGTCCCCAGCACCCGAGGAGGAGGAAGAGCGGGCGCTAACTCACTGGAAGCCCTTTCTGGTCAACATGTGCATGGTGACGGTCCTCACAGCCGGAGCGTACCTCTGCTATAGGGTATGTTTTCACTGATGAGTGTGCCCGCCTGAGCCCAGGCACAGAGAGCGCTGGCGGTGGCCGGGCGCAGGATTCGGTCTGGAAGGATCTGAGCCAGGCCTCGGAAGAGACAGAGCAAAGGTTCTAAGGCTGGAACTGTGGACGGGCCGAAAGAGAGGGTGGCGGATGGACGCACTAGGGTTGCCGTGAGCCCCGTGGTCCCAAGAATACACAAGGCGAGTCTCAGGGCCTTCACTTCTTCAGGAGCAAGTAGAGAAAATGCCAAATACGTCTCTCTTCTTTTTTCTTTTTTTTTTTTTGTTCATTTGTTTTTGGAAGAAAAAAAAACCAATTACAACACATTGTTGTTTTTAACCTTTATAAAATAGCTCTTTGTTATTACTGGGGGGTGGACTGAGGAGGCCTTCCTGTGCCCTTGGGGTATTGAGACCCGTGTGATTTCCCGGGGAGGGGTCCAAATGTTTGGGAATGGAAGCTCCTCTGGAGAAGAAGATTAGGGACAGTCCCTGTCAGTGCCCTCTGCATGGACAGCAGTGGCCGGTGCCCAGAGGTCTCCTGTTGTCTGAAGAACAAGCTGGCTGTTGCTTTTGGCTCAGGGCATCAGGGGCCCTAGGTGCTTTCTCCACAGGAGCCGCCTCCCCGCCCGTCACAGGGCCTTCCACCAGGGTACCACCGGCGTCTTCACGCCTGGCTGCCATGTCACATTAGACATGTGTTGCTGTTCAAGTCAGGGAAGGGACCCTCACAGCCGCTCTGGGAGTCCCTACCCGACTGCCTTCACATGCTGACCATTGCGCTGCCGCCCGACAGCCAGCGGTACCAGATGGTGCAGCGGATGCAGACAGGCCTTTCTTTGGGGGTGCTCGTGGGGAGGGAAGCAGGTACCCTCAACTTCCATGGTGGGGTGGCTGGTGGGAACAGGCGGGAGTCGGGCGACTGCAGGTGGCTCCTGGGCTCTTCTGACAATGTTTGGTTTCCTTCCAGTTCCTGTTCAGCAGCAACACATAATCTGACCCTCCTCTCCACCCACTGTCCGTCCACCTCGCTCGTAGCGCCCGACCCGGCTAGCCAGGTGCCACGGTAGGTGAGGGCCGCCGGGACCGACGGACGCGCGCTCTGCACTAGCCTGGCCCTGGCCAAGCTCCTGGTCCTCCCTGGCCCCGCCTTGAGTACCAGACGCATGAGGCGAGCAGACCCTGCGGAGACCTGGGGTGGCCTGCCTCTGTGCCTGGTGGCAGGTGCACACGCCCCCACACAGCCCTGACAGGCACACGCCACTGCCTCCGAGCCCTTCGTGGGAGTCCGTAGTGAGCCCCACTCCGTATTTATTTTTTTTATTTTCTCAAAGGTGTCCAAGGGGCACAAGCATTTTCTTAAACCGATAATGTATTAAACAATTTTGATGTCAGCCGTGCATCAAGGGCTTTATCAAAAAGTACAATAACAAACCCTCAGGTTGTACTGGGCATGGTGGCACCCTGGGGCCCATGGCACCGCGCCAGTCGTGGAAAGGAGGCCTGCTGTGGGCGGTCGGGGTGGCGCGGGCACCGAGAGGCCCGCTTCGCCTTGTGTCCCTAGAGCAGTCGACTGGAGAGTGACACTTGAGTCTTTGAGCTCGCACTGCACCAGCCCTGCCCTGCGCTCTGCTAGCACCACACCCAGTCGCCGGTCCCCCCGGACTAGAATGCATGCATGGCCCCTGTGTCCTGAGGAGGACACTAGCCGACAGCTCGCTCCGCCCCTGCTGTGCCCCAGGTGCAAGGCCAGCGTCCCCCCGTGACTGGTTCCTAAGGCCGTTGCCGAAACAGTTGTCGTTCAGCAATTGAGGGATGCTTTCCAGTAACAAATACTTGCCGAACTCCGGGCACGACACTCTAGTGACTTCCTGGTGCCACCCAGCCCACCCTGGACCAGCTGGGTCCCACTGTAACTCAGACATTCCAAGCGGACAGGAAGCCATATGCACACCTCCCGCTCGGGACCTTGAGGCAAGCAGGGCCACCCCCACTCTTCCCAGGTCACACTCCTCCGGTGCAGACCACACGGGGAGCCAAGCAGCTGTGGGAGCTGCCTGCAGCCGGGATGGGAGCACCGCGTCCGCCCTGCCCTCGAGCCCTGTGGGGACTGACGGTGCTCCCACCCTCCTCGGAGGGCACTTAGGACCCCACACGTCCCTCCACATTAAGTGGCTTTTTAACAAGAAACCAACAACAAGGCAGCTGTAGCCCCGAGCTGCTCTCTGGCCAGCATTTTCACATTTTGCCTTTCACGTGTTAGAAGCCAATGCAGACACATTCTGTGGGGGACCCTTGGTGGCGCCGCCCACAAACCCCAGGGGTGTGGGCAGGCCGTTTGTTTTCCTCCAGCCCTCTGCATGTACCGGGTTGGGTGTGTATATAATAGCATTTCAGGTGGACGCGGGTTCCCTCCCCTGTGGGGACGGCGGAGGCTGCCTCTGGGCCGCGCGGTCGCGAGTTAGCCCACTGCTCTGCTGTATGCCTTAAGCCAGTATTTACTCATCCCACCATTGTCTCTTCACAATGGCCGTAGAATCAACCATTTTTTACCAAAAAAGGAGAAAAGCGAAAACAAACCCAGGTGTTTGGGGTCTAATACCTTTCCAGGTGTGTGTACACGTGGCTGCATGAAGGGGCGGGGTGTCTCAGGGTCTTCTGTGACCACACAGAACTGTCCAGTGTACAGTTGTCAACTGGCCATATCAATGAGGGGTTGGCATTTTAGTTGCAACAATAAACTTTTTTTCTAAAGAAACGGATTTGGGGTGCTTCCCGTCTATGCGTCCTCTGGGACCCAAACCAGGACAGGCAGCTCCGGCTGCTTCCTGCCCCTGAGGGGTCTGTGCTGTCGGGCAGGGGGTGCCATGGGCGGGGCTAGCTCTGTGAGTGGGGAGCTGCACCACCACCAGCTTTCCCCCCACACCCGAAACAAAAGCACCCACCCGCTAGACCAGCAGTTCTCAACCTGGCGGTCGGACGGCCCTTTCACAGGC